GAGGGGAAAGAGGAAGAAGGTTAGCCCCTACCATCAAAGAGCTCAGCTCAGAGCTTGAAGCAACAAAGATTCACAGGCCACTGACTATGCGCAAGGTGTACTCAGCTCAGGCAGCCTCTCTGTCACTGGGCAAGTTCCCAGTCTCGCATGCAGTTATGCCAACGCTCATTCAGCACCAAGTGCTGGGCAGGGAGGCCGATTGCTAAGGACCTGCATGGTCAGGAAAAGCTTCACAGAGAGCTGTACTGTGCCATGAAGTTCGGGCTGAAAGTTTCAAAGCTAGCCTAAGAAGAACTTGGGCCTTGGCATTGGACAGTCTGATCCCAAAGGCCATCTGGGCTGGTTGCTAGCTCTGGGGCCTTGGGCAAGACTGGTCACCTTTAAACCCGCTCTGCATCTATCAGAGAGGGAGGATGGACACTGCCCTTGTAGCGCTGCTGTGAAGACTCAGTGCACACGGCCTGGCATGCCAAGCCACTCAGCCACTTCCCTCCCACCTTTTTTTTTTTTTTCTTTTAGCCAGAGGGAGCATGTGCTTGCCAGATAGAGACAGAGAGAGGGAAAATGAGAATGCACCTGCTCTAGGGAAGTGCCACAATCCCTTCTTCCCGATAGGAATATCCCTCCTTTCAGGATTTTGGGCACAAATGCACACCATGGCCACTTAGTGTTTTTCAAGCCACCGGGTCTGGAACTCAAAACGTGCAGCTGGCCTTGTAGGATCCAACTCTGGCCATGGGCTGGCCCTTTCCTCCCACCTTTTTCCCCTCTGAACCCCATGTCATCCAGATGGAGGTGAGGAAGGATTGCCCACACGCTGACCCCCAGGGATGCCCTGCCCCTCTTCCCAGCATCCCCAGCATGCCCCACACCTGTGGCTACTCACACCAAGGCCACACTGCTGCCGTCTATGACCACTCGCCGCAACCCGTCGTCCCCAGGTTCCCCAGACAGGTTCAGCTCAAAGGGTGTATTCAGGGCCTCGTGGTACCTCTGGAAGCTGGTCACCATGCTGTTTGCTTGCAGTTGGCGAGGTGGCTGCCTTGGGGCCCCTGGCCAAGCCCCCAGGATCCCCTCCACCTGAGACTGGTGCTTACTGATGGGGGCCAAGTTGCTACTGGGCAGGGGACCTGGCCTTCCAGCCTGCCCCTGGCCCTTTGATGAAGGCTGGCCCTTACTCAGGTGAGCTACATCCACAGCTGGCCCTGTGTCTGTGGGTACCTTCTGAGCCGCAGGTGCTTTGGGAGTTCTGGAAGCTTTGGAAGCTGCAGGTGCTTTGGGGGCCACAGGTACTTTGGGAGCTGCAGGTCCTGTTTTAGCTGCAAGCCCAGTTTGAGCTTTGGGTGTTTTGGGACCTGCAGGTGATGTTTTCGCTGCAGGCATCTTCTGAGCCGTGGGAGTTTTGGGAGTAGCAGCCACCACTTGAGCTGCCGGTGCCGGCTGGCCCCCGGCTGCTTTTTCAGCTGGGGCCACCACTTGAGCTGCTGGCTTTGTTGGAGCCGAAGGCACATTGGGAGCTGCAGGCTCTGCGTGCACTGCCGGCATCGTTTGGGCTGGAGGCACTTTTGGAGCTGCAGGCGGTGCTTGAGTTGGGGGAGGGCGTTCAGCTTTGGGCACTGCTGTACCCATAGGCACTTTGAGAGTTTCAGGCACTGTTTCAACTTCAGGTACTGATTGAACTGCCAGCCCCCCTTGAGCCTTGGGTCTCCCTTGCCCTGTGGGCACCCCTTGCCCTGTGGGCAGCACTGCAGAGGGTCCCTCTTTCAGTCCCTTACAATTCGACTGTATGCCACCTTGATCGCTGGGCTCATCCACAGCATGAAGGTGGGAAACAGAGGTCAAAGGTGGCCCTATCTGTGGAAGTCCTGGACTAACCTTGTCCTTTATACCCAGACCCTCCGGGACCACCAATAAACTCATGACTTTCTGGGGGGTCTCTGGCCTTGGGCATTTCTGTAGGGCTGTATCTCCTCCCAGCTCCCCGTCCAGGCTACAGGCTGGGCTTTCGGCACTGGGCAGAGGAATAAGCTCCTTCTGCTTCCACTCCAGATTTAAGGGCAAGGGATTCTGCCCTGGCAGCTTCAGCTGAATGGGACCCAGCGGTCTCTGCCAGAAGGGGAAATTGAAGCAGGCCTGGGACAGGAGCCAGGCCAGGTGAAGAGAATGCAGTTCATTGAGTCTCCAGAAGGTTGCGGCAATAGCCCCTGGCCACAAGTGCCCAAAGGCTGGCCCTGGGGCCCAGGCCTTCCAGGGTGGGCACAGACCCAGGGCTGACACCGGGGGCTGGAGCGGGAGTCTGTCTTCCACCCTTTGGACCTGGCGTTGCTGCAACGAGGCTTGTGTGTGGTTCACAGGGTCCTGGCTGCTGGTGGCTTGAGCTGGCCCTTCCTCTCGAGCACTGTTGGCACTGCCTTGGCTGTTGGAACCGACCCTGAAGGAAGCCCAAGTTTGTTGAAAACGTGAGACCAGTTTCAACTACTATTTCCTTGAGGCAGGGCAGGAGGGGTGGGTCAGAAATGCTAGACTCAACCTCCAGAACTTACCGTACTAGCTGCTTTGCTGACTCCTGCTGGGTGCTTGGGGCTGAGATGCCTGAGATCAGGGACCTGGTGGCTCCCAGGCTGGTTAACCCCTTTGAATTGTCTGGGCCCCCATTCTGGAGGGTCCCCACCTCCAGAAAGGTCCCAGGATTGTCTCCCGCGGACATCACGGCCGAGTCTTCCTTCTGCTGCTGGGGAGGGCAGGTGAGGACCTCCGACTTGGAGCGGGAGTCGGAGATGCCAAAGCGGCCGAGCCACTCAATGATGTCCTCCTTGCCAGCAGCATCTCGCACCAGGCTCAGCAGCAGCTCCTGGACTGCTGGGGGTAGCTGCAGCAGTTCTCCTGCATATTGGTCACCACGGATCCAGACCAGGGCCCCAAAGGCTCGGGTCACTTCAGCCTCCCAGATTCCCCGGGGGGTCAGCAGAGGGGCAGGGCCCCAGCGCAACCGTGCCACCAGCTCCTCCAGCCAGTTCTGGGTCATGATGAAAGACTCGGTCAGCCCACCCACCATCAGGGAGCCAGGGGGTCCGGGCACCAGGTAGGCCAGGGTGCTCCAGCAGAGGCAGTCCAGGAAGAGACCCTGGGCCCCGAGGAAGGCGCAGTGCAGGATCGGTGGGTAGCGAACCTCCTTCCACAGCTCCGGGCTGCACAGGCCCTTCAGATACTCCTGGGCACAGTGGGGAGAGCACAAGGAAGTGAGCCCTTCACAGACCTCCCCACCCAGAAGGCCAGCCTTCCTCCAAGCACGTGACCTCCTCCTGCCCACCGAGAGCCAAAGGACTCCTCGCTCTCCCTGACCAGGACCCTCACACACCCATTTCTTTCCAGGGAACACTGAAATGAATCGGGGAGGACCAGGAGAGGAGGGAAAGGACCAAGGCTTGGAGTCATGAGTCTTGTCTTGACTTTAGCTGATGAGGAGAGTTGTGGGAAATCCATCATCTTCTCCAGGCCTCAGTGTCTTCATTTGTAAAATGGCAGGTTAAACTAGATACTCCTCTGGTCCAGGCCCACTCTCTGGGTAACAGCAAGGAAAGGGGCTGAGCACCCTCCAACGTGCCAGGAACTTACGTAACCTGGAACAAAGCGTCTCTCCTCCTGTGTCTGCGTGTCCTCCTCTGTGCTACTCAGACACGGGATCCTGCCTCCTTACGCTGCTGTGAAACTGCACTGATGTGATACGTAGAAAGTGCGCAGAGTGGGGTCTGTCTCAGCCTGCTACCATTCTGCAGCTCAGAGGGCTATGCAGCCTGCCAGAGGACACATGCTAGAGGCCAGAATCACAACCCAACTATGTCTGACTGAAACCAGAGCTTTTGCCTCCTCTGGCTGCATGCACAGCGACTACACAGTAATCCTGGAGGATTCTGGCTTAATCTTCCTCCTGGTCTCTAGCACAACCTGTACCTGTAACCATGGCAACCCTGTTGCACAGAGGGGACAGAAGAGCTGACAAGGTGTTGGGCCAGTGTCCAGGGGAACCCCACAGATCCACATGATGGCTAACCAGAAGGAGGGCCTCCAGCTCTCTGGGCAGACCACGTCCTGTGTTTTCAGTCTGGCAGTGGCTGGAACGGGAGAGACTGGGTTCCTCGGCTGTCTGGCTGAGTTCCATCAACACATCCTGGGAGCTCTGGGGAGCATGAGCGCTTCCTCTTAACCAACCCACAGGGACTGCACTTGCCCTCGGGTCCCTCCAACCCTCCTGGCTATGGCAGTCACCCCCCTCTCCGCTTCCTCCTGACAGCTCCATTAGGGCAAACCACCCCTGCACCTCTGCGCAGGACCCAGCCCAGCCTTCCCTGCCACCAGGCCTAGGCCACAGACCTGCAATCTACTTCCCAAAGGGCCTTTTTCAATCAGTCCCAAACCAGCTCAAAACCTGATGGTCATCCCAAGTCAACCCCTCCCACCCAGACGTCAGCTGCCCCCACTGCCCAGCAAAAGTAAATCTAATCAGGCGCACAACTCATGGACCTTAAAAATGTCCCCCACCCTTGGGAACCAGCAGTTAGCGTAATGGCTATGTCGCTGGACTCCCATGTAGTCGACCGCGGTTCGTGTCCCAGACCCGCTGGCTTAAAACTCACGCCGGGCGCGTGTGCGAGCGTGCCCAAGATCCCGAGAGGAGAATGGAGGAGAAGGGATTGCGGTGTGACCATCCCCCCTGGGGGGTGATTTCTCGCTTTCTGTCTCTATGTCTCTCTTTGTCTGTCTGGCGAGCGCACGCGCCCTATAGTGAAAATCTCTCCAAAAAAAAAAAGTCCCCCCCCCCGTGCACCCCACTTTCTAACAACACAGAAACATATATATAATAAAGAGATGTGCTAAAGAAGACTGAGTGATTTTTCTTTGGGCAAAGAGCTTACTCAATATTTTTTTAATTAAAAGGTTATAGGAATTGAGATAATTTCCAAATGATAAACCTGAACACTGTATTTATTGAAAACGTATTGTGTGCCACGCACTTTATACCACTGTCTCATTTCTTTCTCTCTAAGGAAAGTCTGGGCCCTTAGCTGTGATGCTCTACACCCTAGAGAATGCAAAGATAAGGAGACAGATACCTGGAGAGAGAAAAACCTGAAATAACTTTCCTCCTAACACCCACCCAGGCCTTTCTCCTCCAAGAGGAGAACAAGTAGAAAAGAAGAGGCAGGAACAAGCAGATAGAAAAATGATACGGATGAACAAAAGAAATGCACAGAAAAAGGGTGATGCTATTTATACAAAAAAGATTGCCCAATGTCCCATAGGTTCCTTGTCAACTTGTAAATTAAATATTAACACCAAATATTTTAACACCATTTTGTACTTGTCAAGGTACTGTATTGTTTAATGATTTCCCTTTCTTTTTTCTTTTTTTTAATTAAGATTTTTGCTATAGGGCACATGTGCTCACTGGAGAGACAGAGAGACAGAAAGCAAGAAATCACCATGCCACAATCCCTTCTCCTCCATTCTCTTCTCGGGATCTTGGGCACGCACGTGCACACACGAGCCCCGCATGAGTTTTAAGCCTCCGGGTCTGGGATTCAAACCATGGTTGACTACATGGGTGTCCAGTGATGTAACCATTACACCATTTGCTGCATCCTTCTTTTTCTTCTTTTGCTAGACAGGGCATGCACTCACTAGAGAGACAGAAAGGGAGAAAGCACCTTCCCTGGAGAATGGTAACTGCCACATCCCAGCTACTCCATCTCTCCATCCCCTTGGGATTTCAGGGGCATGCCCACAGACACCTGGCATGTCCCCGAAGCACTGGTTGGAACTCAAACTACTCAGAGTAGGCCATGTGGGATTCAGCTGCCTTAACCACCAGGCCACGGATTCAGCCCATAATTAGTATCATTTCCTTTCTCATCATCACTATCAGTCTCTGCTTTCCAGACCACCACAATTTATCCTGCAGAACACTCAAAAGGCTTAGAAAATGACAGCACCAAGAAAATCTGGAATTGGGAATAAAGGGGAACATAAAAGGCTAAGTTCTTTGAGGGAGCCATTTTATCTGGGGGCCCAACACACACACACACACACACACACACACGCTGGGCAAGTACCTCCCCACCAGCTAAAGGTTTGTTCTCTAGGGAGTACAAAACAAGATTTTAGGATTACAGTTTGACAAGCACACTTCAGAGTGTGGGGACCATAAGAAAAAAATGCAGAGGGAGGGAGCAGGGCCAAATAATGATGTATGCAGTGACGGCTGAACACAGAGAGACTCGTTCTTCCCATTCAAAGACTCAGCAACCAGACTGACTGCCCAGTCTGAAGAACAGAGGAATACATTCTGGGAAATCTGGCCAGCCAAGGAGTGAAGACCTCAAGGTCACGATAGCGCCCCAAATCTCTGTACAATCAAACTCAAAATCAGCAAGCCTTGCCCATAGCCCCAGCTCCCAGAGTTGTTTTTTTTTCCCCCTTCACTTTTAATCATGAAAGGGTTACCACGCATATGATGAAAACTTTCAATGTGTAACATAGAGAACAAAACATACTAGAATAATCAAGAGCTACAGAGAAAAAAAGCCACCTGAAGACAGAGACACTAGGCTAGGAGAAGAAAGCTTCTAAAACTTTACTGTTATTGAGGCTGGCAAGTGGCATGGTGATTAAGGTGCTATACTCCCACGTGATCGACCATGGTTCAAGTCCCAGATGTGGTGACTTGCTTTCCTACCTTCCCTCTCTGTATTTCTCTGGTCAAATTAAAAAATAGCAATAATAATAAATAAAATTAAATACATAATTCTTTACAAAATAATATACTGAGACCAGCAGATGGCATAGTGAATATGTCGCTGGACTCCCACATGGCCAATCATGCCCATGGAGAAGGAACTGCAGTATAGGCATCTTCCCAGGGGGTGATTTCTCACCTTCATCTCTCTGGCAAGGACACACAAAAAAACTTTCTAAAATAATAAATAAATAATAAATAATTTACTATTATTACTCTTCTCAGAAAGATAACAGAAAATCATACACACTAACACATTTCTTTTTGGAGAGATTTTTTGCCATAGAGTGCATGTGCTCACCAGAAAGACAGAAATAGAGAGACAGAAAGCGAGTAATCACCTCCCGGGCGGGGGATGGCCATGCCACAATCCCTTCTCCTCCATTCTCCTTTTGGGATCTTAGGCAGGCACACACACATGCACCTGGCGTGAGTTTAAGCCACCGGGTCTGGGACTCGAACCACAGTCTACTACATGGGAGTCCAGCGACATAGCCATTACTCCAACTGCTGGTCCCAACACTAACAAATTTTTTCAAATTATTTATTTATTTAATTTCATCTGTTATTATTATTATTTTTTATTTGACCAGAGAGGGACAGAGAGAGAAAGGGAAAGCAAGTAAGCAAGCTGCCAGGTCCGGGACTCAAACCATGGCCAGTCATGTGGTAATCCAGCACCCTTAACCACCATGCCACCCGCCAGCCCTAAAAACAGAATATATTTTTAAGAAGAGGGAACATAAATTACTTTTTATTTTATTATATTTTATTTTTTAACTTTTTTTCTTTTTTTAGAGAGAAATTTTTGCTATAGGGCTTGCATGCTCACTGAAAAGACAGAGAAAGACAGAGAGAGGAAAAGTGGGAAATTCCCCCACACACCCAGGGAAATGGCCACACTGCAATCCTTTCACCTCCCAGTCTCCTCTTGGGATCTTGGGTGAGTACACACATGCACCCAGTATGAGTTTCAAGCTGCCGGGTCCGGGACTCAAACCGTGGTCAACCATGTGGGAGTCCAGCACCTTAACCACTACACTAACTGCTGACCCCATTTTTAACTTTTTTATATCTTATTTTTTACACTTACTTTTTGCACATCTTTGGGGGGGTACAATATGAATTTCCAAAGCATGCGTGTAGGGCCAGCCAGTGGCCTGGAAGTTAAGGTGGTTGGATTCCTCATGGCTGACTGCACAGTTCAAATTCCAGACCCAGCAGCTTGTAAAACACACTGGGTGCATGTGCATGCATGCCCAAAGTCCCAAGAGTAGAGTGGAAAAGGGATTGCTGCATGGCCATCTCCCCAGGGGTGCTTTCTCACTTCTCTCTTGCCCTCGCTTTCTCTCTTTCTTTCTCGTGAGTGCATGCAGCCTGTAGCAAACTAAAAAAATTAATGGGGGGGGGATGCTACA